GCCTGAGGGCTCACCCCATGGCCCCCCGCAGTGGGAGGGGGTGTTTCCCACCCCCTTGGGGAAAGCCGGGATGTGTTCATGGGTATGTCCAGCTCAAAAACTCTGAGTCTCAAAGCTTGAAGAAGTTGAGCCCTGATCCTCAGCTGAGGAGGAAACAGTGTTAAGTTACAGAGAAGGCTTCAACCTTCAGCTGTGTCAAGTCAGGTCTGAGAGAAAGAAACAGGATTGCAGGCCTGAAGAGGCAGAAAGATGTGCCTCACTGCATGCTGGCGGCAGTGACCACCGCACTGCAGTCAACGTCTGTGAAACTGGAGCCCAAGTCAGAAGCTAGTGCTAGTATCCTAATCAAAGAAAGGGATTTAGGTCACTGTAAGGAAATGGCTTGGGGATAAGGTGTAAAGGTACATGCTTCTCATGACTGTGTGCTACCTCTCGGCAGGTGAAGAGATGATCAGTATTTCCCTGCATCTGCAGTTTTGGTGGGTTAAGCGCAGTTGTATCTTCACAACAGTGTTCACAAAGACCAGAGCAAATTCACACTTTTTTAACCTGGATGTGCTTCTTGATTTTTAAAAAGGAGGAACCTATTCAATACAGAAGTCTCACCTTCAAGGAACTGTTTTGTGTCAACTTAATTTCATTTTTGAGGTGGGGGGTAGAGGAAAGAGAAGATGTTCTGATCTATGAGCTGCAGAGTGATGTGGCTACTAAATCAATTTTAGAATTGCTCTAAATCCCAAGAATGCTGATCTTCCGTCCTTTTAAGAAAGGAGAAGAACCCCCCCTCTCCCATATGATAGCACAAATGTAACTATAGATGAATATCCCCTCAGATGTCTTCCATAAGCAAAATGGCATGCTGATCCATACAAAAGTACATTTGTGAGGGATTGAGCAAACAGGACAGTTGTGAGTGCTTGCATGTTTGTTCATGTTACTTCCTGGTAGTAGATAGTGCTCTGTATATTCATATGTGTGGGGAGCAATCACAGTACTAATGCAGACACAAAAAGTTGTGGTCTACTCGTCTGTTGATTTGCCTTGGAAGTTGACTTTTTCCAGTTGTAAACTGTTAAAGTTTCTGTTTTGCTCTAACCCTTGCTTACCCTCCATTAGCAACTGTTTGAAAAATCCTCTTGAAAATGAAGAGTTTCCTGAAAATGCTCAAAGTCCTGGTGCTCTCCATATACTACCTGCTGGAGGCTCTAGTTCGGTGTGCTATTCCCAGGCGAAAGAAGAATGTTACTGGTGAAATAGTGCTGATCACAGGAGCAGGGAGTGGAATTGGAAGACTGATGGCCTTAAAGTTTGCCTGTCTTGGAGCTGTCCTTGTTCTTTGGGATGTTAATCAAGAAGGTAACAAGGAGACTGGTAGACTAGCCAAGGAAGCTGGAGCAGTGAAAGTACACACCTATATCTGTGACTGCAGCAAAAGGCAAGAGGTCTATAAAGTTGCAGATCAGGTAAAATACTGAGTGTTCATGATTTGTAAGGTGTTTTATGACATGCTGCTGATTATCATGCACTGACCTCTTTGAAGCTTCCAGAGTTCATGAGTTCAGAGTTCTTGGGGAGTATTCTACCTAATTTGAGGAGATTTTATTCTTTTTCTATTTCCCTTTCCCTCCCCTCCCCTCTACCACCCTACTCTGCTGTCCTTCTGCTAAAAGGAGACCCTCTTCAGTCTTAATTTTAACCTTGGTTACTGCAAAGGGGGTTCTTGGGCATAGTATCATCCTTCATCAGGTAGTTTCTTTCATTACTGAGTAGTTACTAAAGCTGAAATTGCACTTCCCTTTGTGAATCTAAATAGCAGCTTTCTAGCCACATATGGTGTTTCTGGTTTAAGCACAGGCAGCTATTCATCTTCCCCTGCACTGTGGACATGTAAGTTTGCATGCATAGACTGAGTGTATACAGTTGGCTACATTTAGACCGTGTTCCTTTGTTGAAGGCACAAATATGTTGCTAGCCAGAAACCTGAATTAATCCACATGAAATGGAGGAGGAGGAGAAAGAGAGCCTGCTGGGGTTTTTGCCCCCAGTTGCTGAGTGGTTAGGGCAAAACTAGTCAATCATTCTAGCCCAGGAAGCTAGAAACCTGGGGCACCTATACACATGAAGCAAGGCTGCTCCAACACACTGTAATTGCAGACTAATTAATTACAGATTAATCAAGTCTACTGGAGCATGGTAATTGCTGCACTCCAGCATCTCATGTATTAGTATCCCCACACTGAAAAATGGTGGCAGGGGTGCTTTACCTAAAGCTCCTTTGACAAGATTTAGTTAAAATGTCTCCGCCTGCATTGTCCAGCAGGGGGACACTGATGCATGGGACACTCTGAGCACTTTAATTAGAGCAGCTCCTGGAGCCTTTCTAATTAAAGCACCCCCCATGGAGCACCTGTATAAACACCCCTGGATTCTAAGCCTCCCCTCACTCAAAGTCTGTTTGAAACTGCATCTTTCTTAATGTACACGGACACTGTCCAGTGAAGTGGATCAGTTGTGCTGGGTTATGTCCAGCAAGCTGATCTGTTTCACTGGGTGAGATGGGTGCCTCCCACTGTCTCACAAGATTGGCCACTCCCATGAACAGCCATGGACCAAGGCCTGATCCTGTGGAACAACACTTGGCATGTCTCTCTGCAAGTGCAGGAACCCCAGGTTCCCCTACTTGTAGAAATGTACTGCAACTTGTATTTCCTTGTTGTGCCTCTGCAAGGAAGAGAACTGTTTGCAGAGACCTGTGCCTGAAGAATCTGACTTGGGATATGTCTCTGGAACCCAGGGGAAACCCTGGGTTTTCCTCTTTGTTGAAGTAAGTTCTGAATTAGAGCATGGCAGTGCAGTATGCACGCCCAAAGAATTCCCTGGGGAACCCAGGCAGGTGCTTCCAAAGCATAGGGGCCCCTATCCTGCATGCCCCAGGAATGGGAATTCCCGGAGCATGCAGAATCAGCCCCTGGAGCACTGGCAACTCTGGGCTACCTGCACTTTCCCCCCATAAAGCAAACAGACATCAACTGTAAATGTGTATGTATATTGTGGCCACAAATTTGGGGCATTTATGGCATGACAAGGGACATGGAAGTCTGCTTGGACTTTGTGCCACCATAAATACTTTTATAGCAGCTTAGAGACAACAGCTGTTTCCAGCTTCTGACTTCCCAGCACAATGATCTAAGCACCATGCCACAGATGAATAGTATTCAGCCCTTCTACAGTGCTCCTGTTTTGGCTGCCCCTGAGCAGCCAAAAGATTGAAAGGTGTGGGGCCAAGAGACAGAGAACAACATAGAGGGTACATCTATATGTCACTGTATGACTACACTACTATGGTGCCATGCTTTAGTACTTTCTTTTGGAAGTATTAAAACATGGCAAAGTATGGGCGGTTACTGCGCCATGTGCACAACGTGCAGTTAGATTTTGCTACTATGGCAACGTAGCTAGCGATTACATATAGACTTGTGTGATTGCAATGTTGCTGTAGCATGCCGTACACTACGTTGCTGTAGGGTGACATGTAGATGCACCCAGAGTGTATGTAACCCAGTGAGATGCCTCTTTTCTTAGACAGGAGCCAACATTTAGTCATTAGATTGGAACCTTGCTCCCAGTGAAACAAAGTTACCATCACTCCTTTGTCTCCATTGACTATTAAATGTAAGGACCAGTGATTTCAGCTTCCAAAGAAGCATTTGAGGAAGATTTGGGTAATTCTTGATTGTGATGTGGTGGTTGGAGAACAATGGCAGGAAGTCAGAGATGTAGTTTGACACCACTGTGAGTGCAGCGGGCCCAGATTCTGGGTCTCAGGCTTCCTGAGCATTCCTTAACAACTTGACAATTGAAGCTAAAACTTAAGAGGATTTTTGTTCTTTTTAACTCTTCCTGTTTTTCCTGGTCATATGTTGAGCTATGCATATACCTAGCAAGTTGTGTAGCCTTACTGCGCATGCTCAATCTATGTGCACACTAGTGCATGCATAGCAGAGAGGCAGAACCAAAACCACCTGGACATGAAGCTAAAAAATTGCCATTTAGATGCCTGAAGGGCAGTAGAAAACTAAGAACTGGCATTTTCTGAGGGGTGCCTTGACTCTTAAAGGCAACTGTTAAAAGCCACAGTGCTAGGTTATTGGGGTAGAGAGCAAATAATCCTGCCAATATAGGCATGCATGTAAGCTTTGTTTTTTTTCCACTTGAACCTAAGGGCACTAAAGTGGTGTTATTTTAGAAAGGTTGCCCTGCATTGCAGCAGAATATCTGTTGACTGCATGGTTGCTAACGGGTTTCCAGAAAAAGAAAATCGGTGCTGAAAACTAAAATGATTGTCCAAATGTACTTTTTATTGTTTTGACTACTGTGCATCAGCTTGACCTTTTTTGTCATCTTCCAGGTGAAAAAAGAAGTAGGAGATGTTAGCATCCTAATCAATAATGCTGGTATTGTAACTGGAAGTAAGTTTCTTGATTGTCCAGATTCCCTTGTGGAGAAAAGCATGGCGGTGAATGCTATGGCACACTTCTGGGTAATTTTTTTTTCTTTTATGGATCATCTGACATACTCCCTTGGGTACTAGTGTCTGCAGTGATTTGTGCGTGGGGGGAGTGAGGGTCATTTTTGTTTTGTTGATTCGGGCAATAATTTCTCATTCAGGAATGGTATAGAATCATAGAAAATTGGGGCTGGAAAGGACCTCAGGAGGTCATCTAGTGCCCCCTGCTTTAAAACAGTACCATTCCCAATTAGATAATCCCAGTCAAGGTTTTGTCTAGCCGGGTCTTAAAAACCTCCAAGGATGAAAAATCCACAACATCTCTTGGTAACCTGTTCCAGTGCTTTACTACCCTCCTCATGCGAGTTTTTCCTGATATCTAACCTAAACTTCCCTATCTGCAACTTCAGATCATTACTCCTTGTTCTGTCATCTGCCACCACTGAGAACAGTCTCACTCCATCTCTTTGGAACCTCTCTTCAGGTAGTTGAAGACTGCTATTTAATCCTGCCTTAGTTTTCTCTTCTCCAGACTAAATGAGCCCAGTTTCCTCAGCCTCTCCTCAGAAGATATGAGCCCCAGCCCTCTAACCATTTTCATTGCCCTCTGCTGGACTCTCTCCAATTGTCCACATCCTTTCTGTAGTGGGACGCCCAAAACTGGATACAATACTCCAGCTGTGCCATCACCAGTGCAAAATAGAGGGGAAGAATCACTTCTCTCAGTTGGCTGGCAATGCTCCTACTAGTGCAGCCCAGTGTGTGCCGTTAACCTTCTTTGCAACAAAGACACACTGTTGGCTCCTGTTCAGCTTACTGTCCACTGTAACCTCCAGGTCTTTTTCTGCAAAGCTGCTGCTTAGCCAGTCAGTCTCCAGCCAGTAGCGGTGCATGGGATTGTTCTGTGCTATGTACAGGATTTTGCACTTCTCTTTACTGAACCTTATGGGATTTTGATAATGATTTGCTGCAGTTCTCAGGCCACATACTCATATTGGTGGCATACCTGTGAGCCACTGATGTAGAAGAGGGCGGGGAAAATGGCATATATTGGATAGAGTGCATCAGAGGGCAACAAAAATGGTTCATGGGCTGGGGCATGTGAATTTTATGAGGAGAGGCTGAGGTACCTGGGCTTATTTAGTCTGGAGAAGAGAAGACTGAGAGTGGATTTAACAGAAGCATTTAACTAAAGGGGGGGATCCAAAGAGGACGGTGCTAGACTGTTCTCAGTGGCTGATGACAGCACAAGGAGCAATGATCTCAAGTTGAAGCAAGGGAAGTTTAGGTTAGATATTAAGAAGAATTTTCTCACTAGGAGGAAAAGGTTACCCAGAGAGGTTGTGGAATCTCCATCTTCAGAGGTTTTTAAGACCCAGCTAAACAAAGCTTTGGTTAGGGTGATCTAGTTGGGGATAGTCTTGCTTTGAGTAGGGGGTTGGACTAGATGACCTCCTGAGGTCCCTTCCAAACTTTGCTGGAAAAGCATGGAAGTGGCACAGTCCACAAGCAGTGGAGGGAAGGGTTAGAAGTTCAGGTTTCCTATTCCTGACTACTATTTTAAGATCAGAAAATGGTGATGGTTTCATGTCACGTTGGCAACCCACTTGGAAAAATGTTGTTGTGCTGAGCATTTAAGCACAGAGAACCTGCAGCTTCACAGAATATCCTTGCTTCATAAACTGCTGTCTGGCTGGCAGCAAACTAGTTCCTACCTTCCCGGTAACTGATAACATAAAGAAGCAAGAATACTGATGAGCTCCCCTTTGGGACCTGCAGTTGCTCAACAAAGCAGGAATACTTTTCTGGCCTGTCCAGTTTTCTCTGGAATGAGGCCAAGTGCATGACTGTGGTCTGTTATAAGCAGAATATTCCTGGCAGGATTCCTTCCAACGTGGCACACACTCTCTCATTTGAACTAATAAATGGCGCTGTGAAATATTTTTAGGAGATGGTCAGTGACTAATCATGGGGGGGCTTTTCCCCATGTTTCGTAGACTTACAAAGCCTTCCTTCCAGCTATGATTGCTTCTAACCATGGTCACTTGGTTAGTATTGCAAGTTCAACAGGACTACATGGCACCGGTGGGCTGGCAGGTTAGTATGTTTTTAAAGAAGTGTTTCATGGAAATAAAGGTAACTGTTTAACCAAAAACAATCTTCATCCTATAGCTCTTAGGCCAAGATTTTCAATAAAATGAGTATTTAGCCCTTTTTAAAGGTAAAAGTTATTGAGGTTCATTGGGGCAGCAGAGGCGGGTCTCCAGTGTCCAATTTCACCTCCTTGTGTCAAAGTTAGATGGCCATACCTCTGGCCACATTTAGCCCCCGGTACTCAGTGGATAAGCCTTGAGGCTGTGCTGGAAGTGGAAACCCACCCCTCTAACCTGGGATTGAACCCAGGTCCTTCCAGTCTATACCTTCCAGTTTTCTTGCCAACTGACCTATGTGGTAGCTCCAAAATTGTTTATTTTAGGTGTCTAAAATAAATGTCTGACTCTCAAAACCCATGAATGCCTCATAACCCTCATCCTTTGTCTCTGGTATTGCTGAAAATTAGGTCATTCGTATAGATGCCTAAAGGAATTGAAATTTAATGTGGCATCTTTTTTATACTGAAAGTTCTGATAGCTAGGGCAAACTCAACTGCAGAAATTTCCCAGGGATTGAGACTTGGTGAACACACTCAGTGCCACAACCATGTCTAGTAAATACTTCATGGAATCAAAGAACAAAATCTTCAACAGGCTACTGGCTTTTCTGTTATACAGAGATTTTTGTAGTATCAAAAATGTGTTTCAGAATAACGCTTATTGCTTGCTTCTGGGCTTGCATTTCAGGAGTGCACAGTAGCTTGAGATATGAGGGCTTAAGAATGGTATGGAGATTTCTAGAAATACCTAATGTTAACCAAGCAGATTGAGGGATTTTCACAGGAAGCTAAACAGTGAAACTAGACTAAATAAATTGCCTACAAGGAGTAAAGACTGGCAGATGTAGGAGAGGTGTAAGTAGGAAAATTGACAGTGTGAAACCATACTATATGCAGTCTTAAAATTGAATAGATGTTGAAGTTTGCAGGAAAAATAGAAAGCAGTAAGTGGATTGATTCAAAGGTAGAGCGGTGTGGAGCTGAAAAGAAAGTACAGGCATAGCGAACAGGTGTAGAAGTGTAGAGTAGCAGACAGAGGATTGATGTTGGTGACAGGAAGCAGTAGGAGAGGAGAGAAGCTGGCAATGGTTATGGAAAGGTAGTGGATTGCCAGTGCTGGAGAAAGGAATGGGAGGAGATGGATTGGGAGGAATTCTCTCTGTTCTGGGAGGGGTGTATCAGAGAAGCAGCAAGTCATGGGAGGCACAGCTATATGTGTGAGCATGAACAAAGGAGTCAGAAATGCATTTTGACTACCAGTGACTGTAATGAAGTCTTGGAGTGCAGAGGGAAGAAGAGGGGGCACCAGAGAGTTGAAGATGAAGATCTACCAATTGAGGTGGAGGCAGTGATACACTCAGTGAAGTTGATAGGAAAATGGAGGGTATAACTGGGAAATACCAAATGGGAGGGAGAAATGAAGGGTGCCAAAGATGGCTTTACCTGGGCTGTCTAATAGTTCCTGTGCTGTGGTGAACTGTTTGTTACTGCTGGATGTAGGTGTCTTGGAATTATCTGAATTTCTTGTCCTCTTGCTGCTGCTGCAGGCTACATTTAAGGGTTTCTGTATGTGAATCACTCCTATTAGAGCATCAGATTCTCTGTCAAAAGGAAGGAAGTCTGACAAGTTTTTGTTTTGTATGTTCAGTAGTGAGATATTGGGAGGGGATAGTACCACCTAATTATGTTGGTCCCAAATATTCCTTTTACAAAGAAAATGTCTAAACAGTAACTGTGGTCTCTCTCTTCATTTGCTTCCCAGATTATGCTGCAAGTAAATTTGCAGCAGTGGGCTTTGCAGAATCCATTGATGTAGAGATGCGTGGCCTGAAGAAAACTGGCATTAAAACAACCATTGTGTGTCCATATTTCATCAATACAGGCATGTTTGATGGCATTAAAACCAAGTGAGTAAAGTTTAGGGGGATTTTTCTGGCATAATTTCTATTTGCACGTGCACACAA